CACTCTTTCTTTCGTTCTCTCTCTTTCTCTCTCTCACTCACACACACGCACACACACACACACACACACACACACACACACACACAAACACACACACACAAACACATACACATGCATACACACATAAACAGTCTACCAACCTCTCAAAACAAATCAAGATCAAAGCCCAATTGGCCAAAGTAGAGAAGTAACTCGGGAAGAACTCCAGCTTGCAGAGAACAGTCCCTTGCTCGATTTCATTCCTAATTAGGATGTGACCAATCAGCTTCGAGATGAGCGCCATGCCGTCGTAGCCAGCCAATAAGGTGACGAAGAAAGTAGCGGGGCTCAGAACGCGCATGCCCACTATGGTGATGATGATCGTGATGTTTGCTGGGATACCAATGGCGCAGATCACCCACATGTAGGTGTTGAAAATGTCTGTGGATATTTCGTTGAGACGCAGTTCTTCTTCCGTCCTGGAGGAAAGGCGTAAGACAACAGGTTAACAATAGCTATTAATATTATAGATGTGTAATTTATCGTATTGTAATATTATTGTAAGTTTTACACGTGGCCACCGACATCATAATATAAATGAAGATATCTGCGGATTTGATTGAGATTTAGTTCTTCTTCCGTCCTGGAGGAAAAGCTTCAGACAAAGGTTAACAATAGCTGGCTATGTAATTGTAATGTACTAGTAGATGTCACATGCCTTCATTGACATTGTGTAACGGTAATATAATGTAGATGTTATACGCCCCCGTCTACATCATGAGATAGATAGATAGATCCTTTAAGAAGCGGGCTGCTTCAGCTATGCCCATCGGAACAAAACCTGGTCTGATAGGGGTAGAGCGTTCTTGCAGACAGACGGAGATACTTGATAATAAACTCCCCCTAAAGGGGATCAAACTCACGCCTTCTGCATTCAACAGTGAAGCGCCTGACAACAGTACCAAAAGAAACCCGTAGCTTGTTATATGTAAACTGAACTTTCGACATCTTGCAATTCTGGGACCATAACTACGCCAAATCACGGTACTGTAGGTATTGAAGATAATATCTTCTCTGAATATTCGGTTGAGACGCTGTTTTGGCTACAGTCAAAGAAAACGTGTCACAGCCTTCTTTTGCTGTGGCCTTTATTAACGGGCTTTCAGATTTTGTTGGTCATCCAACCTTTAGACCTGCATGCAAAGACCTGTAAAGATTTAAGTGTAACGATGCAAGTTGTTGTTTTTTTTTTAATGTCCTGCTTTAACCATAGACAGGTGAAGGTGAACAAGCTATACTTCCAAAATGAAAAACAGGAATGTCCATAATGTAAACACCCCCCCCCCCCTCTACTTTAATTCTGAAATCAAACTAATATCTTTTACCTTGCTATTCAAAGAGTTTAACCATTGCACCACGGACGCTCATGCACCAGAGAGTTGGGAGTATTTGTTGTAGTAAAAGTTTTACAACGCTTGCAACACAATTAAGCCATAATATAAGTGCCGAAGATTAGATGTGGTACAAGTGAGTATGAGCACCAAAAAGGAGACGGCGACGTAGCGATGATAGATGTTTGATAGTTGATAGAGGAGCAAACCACACCCGACCACTTGCCAACCACCCACTGTACAGTTTACTGTTGTGAGTATGGTCCCGCCCCTCCCCCCGCCCCCCCTTGAGGAAGATACTACTGAAGGAAGCTATGTTATTAATTACAAAGTATCCCACTCAGTCTAAAAACCAGTGTCTGTGGTGTAAATGTTACTCTCTCCTCTACTCTAAGCGAAAAAAACCAACAACAAACACTAAAGCTACAACTAAAACTAAAAACAAAACAAAAAAACACAAAAAAACACTAAAAACCCAACTTGAGGTCGATTTTCACAAGAGGATATCCATTTTTTCACTGTACTTCGTAATTCTACAGGGATGTCGAATCCCATTCCGGTCAGGGTTGGTCCTGACTTTCGGGCCGAAGCAGCCTGCCTCCTAAACCATCTAAACTAAGTCAGAGGGAGAGGAAAACATTCTCGCTCAATCAAAACGGATTCACACCCAAACAGCTTCTTCTTCTCGATCGCTTCACACTTGAAATCTGGTATCTGTCATAAATTGGGCCGTTCTGCTCAGTTCATCTGTCGGCCCGTATAGCTTCTCTTGTAGTGTCAGTGGGGTTGGCCACGTTTTCAGTCTCAGGGCCCTGTGTGTCGTACATTCAAACTGATCTAAGGCGTGTTGATGGGAGTGAAAGCTTTCATTCATTCATTCATTCATTCATTCATTCATTCATTCATTCATTCATTCATTCATTCATTCATTCATTTTTATTTATTCATTTATTGTTTTACTCACTGTTCAAATTCTTTGAAAGAATTGAAGATTTTGTCCAATTCCCCATCGTCTTTCTTGAAGGATGAGAAGAAGGAGTCTGTGGTAGTGAGAAGGCCGGCGTTGGCGGGGGTGGTGGCTTGTGCCATGGTGGGAACGAGTTCCTCTCTCTTCTGCGTTTGAGGAAAAAACAAAACGAAAAAACAACAACCTGTTATTTCAAATAAATAAGAAAAATTGTTGATTTCCCCGACTAAATGATACACGGGTATACAGACACAAAGTAAAGACACACGCGCGCGCATGCACGCAGGCACACACACACACACACACACACACACACACACACACACACACACACACACATAGACACACATGCATACACACTCACACACACACACACACCATATGATAATGTAGTGTAATGCAATATGACATAACAGAATAGAAGAGAAGAGAAGAGAAAATACATGACATTTATCATCATCCTGATCCCTTAATCCTTCTCGTCCTCGTTTTCCTTTTCCTCCTCATCCTCCTCATCATCATCATTTAGAAAAAGCAGAGTAATGAAGGGGAGTCTTGAGTTATATTTTGTTAGTAGGTTAAGTCAAAAGGGAGCCTACTAATGGCGCCCAATCTAAATTTTGCAAACTAAAAGGCTCTGAAAACAAACCGAATGAAATAAAAAAGAATTCTGATAAATAACACAAGTCGTTTATCTTACAGATATTAACAGAATAAGCATTTAGATCTATTTATTTGTGTTATTGTGTGTCTTTTCCACCTACCGTAAAACGTAGAACGTAGGTCATATGAGCGCGCGGGACACCTTAATACGTTTTCAGTTTGTATGAAATTTTGAATTTTGCCTGGGTGGCGGCCGAAGCCTACTCTTATCGATTTTAGACCACCAGGGGATCTTTAACGTGCGCAACCTGCACACAGGATCTCCGAGATTTTTCGCCCTTGTCCAAGAAGGCTAGCTGTACATCTTTCCTACTTGAAGATCAGGGGTGTGGCTCAAAGACAGCAGTAAGGAGCCAAGGAGTAGCAGTAGAAAGGCTGCTGAAAGAGCCAGGAGCCCAGAGGAGGGGGCAAAGGAGGTGAGGGGGCTGGGGTAAAAAGTGGAGACGAAAGCAGACGACAGAACATTGCTAGAGAGCAGGAAAAGAGGGGGAGGGAGACAATTTTAGAGAAGAAAATTTTTCAGTCGCTACCCGGATTCAAACCCTAGACATTTGAATGAGAGGCGAACACCTTAATCTCTAGGGCACGATAGCCCCCGACCTAGGTCTACAATCCCTTTTCTCGGGATGACAAGCTAAGAAACAACTGGGCAATTTGCTGGCTTTAATTTTGGAATTTAAAAAACCAAGCAAATTAATTCCCTCTTCCTTTCACGAAATAATGCTCTTCTGAATGAGATAAAATTTGTGATTCTGAATAATGTGGGCTGTGTATTTGTTTCACCGTGCTCACCACGCGGGAGTGGAACCTCGAACAGAATAGATCTGAACGTTCTGACGTTTATGTCACTATGGCAGCACAGTTGAAAAATCATTTGGTTGCTGGTTTCTTTTCGCAACTTATTGAAACACCCTTAAGTGTGTACATAATGTGTGTGTGTGTGTGTGTGTGTGTGTGTGTGTGTGTGTGTGTGTGTGTGTACGTTTGTGTAAATAAGCCACTCTATCCCTTAATGGAACAGTTCACCAGCAGTCATGTAGGTGTGTTTGGTAGAGCTGAACTTTTCCCACAGTCATTGGCCAGCTTGTCCTCTTAAAATTATCGTTTGATCTATAGGCCTACATCGCCCGATTTTAAACATAATATGTCAGTGTTCTAGCAATTGCAAAGTCGAAAGGACTTCCCTTCGCTGACAGGCTGACATATGATTAATTATCGTCATCATGATAATTGTAGAAATAGAAGAAAAGGGAGGGAGTGTGTTGAGAACTTCTTAATCACACAATTAACTGAAAAATGTTGTTCATTAAAACGTTTCGCATTGAAAGCTTCGTCAAGAGCGACCGAGAGTGAGAGAAATGTGAAGACAGCGCTGTGTATGTATCAAGGAAATGGACCACCACCACCACCATCATCATCATCATCATCATCATCATCATCATCATCATCATCATCATCATCATCATCCTGAGATACGAAGAACTGTTTCTACATCACAAACCACAGCAGGAACTATGAGCGTAAACATCTCCGACAAAAACCGCATTATACAATGAGGCCAGAGAGAATATTGGGATTGGCTCTGCTGTTGTGAAATCAGCTCTGAAACGGATGAAGGATGTAAATATTTTACGCCGCAGTCGATACACTGTCGAACCTGCAGCAAGCTGTAACGACCACTTGTCAGAGGCAACCACCTCTACAAAGACCACTCCCCACCCCATCTTTTTTTCGAATTGTTTCTGTTATGACACTGTTCTGGAAGTTAACCTGTAATAAATTAGCAGCTCGCACTGTATGCTTTGATTGTTATTTAAATCTAGACCATTCAGGAGGCGGATGTTGGTAACTGGTTGGAATTGATCAGCCTTGCCCATGGATACAGTGACGAAGGCGGAGTTCATGATTCAGTTTGTTCGTTCGCTTGTTCGTTTGTTTCGTTTTGTTTTGTTTGTTTGTTTGTCTATTTGTTTGTTTGTGTGAAGAGAAAAACGTGACAAAATCACGGGTATTTGAGCAGGAGAAATGTAGACAGATAGACAGAAACGACAAAGGGAAACAAACGGACACATACTTGTACTAATGGCGTTTGGAAACGGCTGGCGGGATGCAGTTGTTTTTGTCAAATGAGAAACGAAGCAAGAAGGGTTGAAAGGAGAGAAGGGGGG